CCTCTCTCTCTCCCTCTCTCCCCCCCCTCTCTCTCTTTTCCAGTATCAGGGACTCCCAAAATGTCCTTCTTCTTTTATATCGACTTCCGTGGCATCGATATCTTAATGAAATCGTACACCATGTTCGTCACACACATCACCAATATTAGATGGGAAGAAATCCAAAATTGTAATGACGCAAATGTAATTTCAGAGATACACAGTTGCACCCCATAGCCTTACAACAGTCCAGCATGTGTTCCGTCAATTCCTTGTAACTCTTAGGCATTACGTTTCCAAAGAAATTTTCACATAAATCTCTGAATGAAAGCGGAAGTGACTTCTCAGTATACATCAGCAACTGTTCAAGGGTAATATCTGTCATCTGGTTCCCTGTTCTGAGGCTTAATAAAAATTCCTTCTTTAATTTTTGCACAACTAATAGCAGGAAATTTAGAGAGTCAAAATTGAAAGTCCTGGTCAACATTGTCCATTGCTTTCACAAAATTCTTCAGAAATCTCGATTTCAGATGGAGTGGTGGTAACAGCACACTGTCTTTGTCAACACGCTGTTCATGCGACAATTTTATTTCACCAGCATTGAAAATTTCTTTCAAAAGTCACTCTTTGCTTACGTCTTTCCTTACCCTACTGTCCCAGTGACACAAGAAACAGCAATATTTTGTGTAACTAGACTGCATTCCTAGAATAATTGTAACAAGTTGTTTTCTTGAACACGAGACCCAAGTAATTCTGCTTGTCTCTGAGGATTTAGATCTCTTACACGCAGCTTTCAATTCTGCTGGAGACAATGGCTGTGGTTGTAGCCGTTTTGCAGATGGCGTGTAATCAAGATCATGATTTTCGTGATCTGTTGATTTGTCACTACCCTCGTCTGTTTCATCTTTCCAGTGCCCATTCCGTTGATGGTTTTGGAACTGGCAGAGAATTCGAATGCGGTACTGGGTGCATTGTAGGTTCCAAATTTGGATAAGAAACTGGATTGATTTACTTGAAATTCCTCGTACTTTCGTTTAATAAATGTACCTATCTGTAGCAATGTGATAATGTGGTGTCTGGGTTCCCTTCATGACTGTGGTATGGCAAATGGCGTGTATAGGTGGTTTCATGCAACCTGCCTCTGAAATAGCGGGAGGTGCGTGAACGGTTTCTGTGGTGCCCAACACTTACCCTCAATTACATTTCACTCAAGATAAACTCGTACGCGATTTTGACGATTGAAGAAGTGGGATGTCTTTGAGACTTAGTCGTAAATTCACCGCACACATAACAAAAAAGATTTGGTGAATTAACAAACTTCTTAGACATCGCTGACTATAAGGAACACGGGAACACGCACAAACAAAATTCTTCACGTAAGCGGATTTATACACTTAGAGAATAGATTCTGTGTGGTCTCACTATCTATTGACTGATACAAGTACAACTTTCCTGTATCTACATCAAGTGACTATATCCCCCTCCCCTCTCTACTCCTATCACCAGTCAATAATATTCCTAAAGTAACAGAATGTGATAAGCGCTGCGACAACATAAATAGCAGAACTTTGAGAGCAGATAAAATTGCGTTTCCAGAAGAAAGTTTAGGTGATAGCGAACAATGATTTGCACCACTGTCATCAGGGCATTGAACTACATAACAATCACATGTATTTGTTCTGCGGCAAATTTCATTGTTGCGCTGTGTAATCATCCCGCACCAACACATCCTCACAAACCCTCCCAGATAGTAAAAAATATCCACTAGATACTCTCCAACTTCCCCCTCCAGTTACCTGGCCGTAGTGGACGAATGATAAAAATAGACAAAGACCGACGTCACATAGACCAATGACGTATAGACAATGATGACACACACCGACGAAGCGACCGAAAGAGAAGGAAACAAAAATCCCACCATCCTATACTCCCTTTTACCAAAATTCAATCCCATTCCTTTTCCCCAATTAATTAGCATTAAAAATAACTTTAAAAACGTACAATTTTTCCTCCAAATCATTCTTTCCACTCATATCCTCTCTTTTCCTCCCTCTAAGTTCATAGTCCTACATCTCCCCTCCCAAAAAAAGAAACCTTACCTACTTAAAAACACTTAAAACGTCTCGAGCTACCCAATACCCTTCCATGTACGGAAGAGTGGAGTAATTATCAACAATACTACAACCCCAAATCAATAACCTGATCTGAAGAGTTCCCTAAACGGACAGGCAGATCGAGCATAAAAGACCACTAGAGCACGGAAGATATGTGAACTATTGCGTATCGTATCCGACTTCAGCCAAGGAGCTTCAGGCACCAGTCTGCGTCACAATATTAACAGGAATTTTAAATGCAGCCAGATATTATACCAAAAGTATCACCATGTTATAAGTTATTGAAATTTAAAAAAATATTGAATCTTTTATTTCAATTACATCTTCAGTGTGTTATTTTTGTTTGGTCATCGTTGAAAGTTGTCACTTTATGCCACTTTCAAAATGTTTTTCAACACTTTTCGCTCTCCATGCAACATGGTGGCGATCGTCTAGACTGGCTTTTCAAACGAAGCGCCCGTGTTGGTCACATGGTTCGTTATTGAAACTGGTGCTGCGTAGAACGAGCAAACATCTATGCGCCGGAGTATCTCACCAATGACTTTCCACCATGATTATTTTGACATTTTCTCATACAAAATGTATAGTCCGTTTTTTAAGCAAAATAGTGTTTATCACGGTGGAAACATCTTTTTAACACGCCGTGCGCGAAACACTGTTTCTCGGACTTGTTTTCCGTGAGCAAAACTACTTTTTTTTTACTGTGTGCGAAACATCTGTAACTATTCGATGTTGGCTTTCCTTGTGACGTATTCGTTTATTATTTACAAGCAATAATATTACGACTCTGACTGGAATCCATATACTTTTGTACAAGTAGAGTATTTCTTGTTATTTGATGTTTAATTTATATTCATTCACTTGACGCATTGCGTTTCGCTCACAGTGTGTTAAAAAATAGTATAAGCAACACGGGCGCGAGATGATTCCCGCACTCGTCTCTTTGTCGCCCTTGCTACGTCTGACGACAAACCCCCAGTCGTGCATGAATCACCTTCTTCGCGCCCCTTTTACATACATTATTATTCATCATGTTTTTAATTACTGGGGAGCGAACATTTCTGGTTATCGTATTTTGTAGAAAACGCTCGGTGCTATAATTTATTGTGAATTCAACGAATAAACTAATAACTAATAAAGGAATGGGGGAAGTATTCCTGGGTTCAAGAAAACGTCGGCGTATAAATACGAGCGTCGAAGATGGGTGACGGGGCTCCGGCCTTCGCGATTATAATAATACATCTTTGCTTGTCCAACGCATAAATTTCAAAGCATTTTGTCAAAGTACTTCTTTACCAATCACGTTTAATACGTTGTTACGCATCGCTACATGTGTCGAAGTTGGATGACGAGACTCCTTCAGCCTACGCGATTAATATAAAGTATTCTTAATGCCAATACAACGCGTACTTTCCGATTGTCATTCGAATTACGTGAACAGAATGTTGTCCTTCCCGCCGTTCGTTCTTCACTTCGTCATGGCCATTGTGTAAGAACACAGTGTAGCCAAATAGTATAGATCATGAATACCATGAGTGTCCAACTTGCAAAGCCTCAAGGGCCACAACTAAAACATTTCATATACTTGTGGGCCATATTTACATTACTCGGGCGATCCACACCGGGCTTTCCCATATATTGTTGATCTCGGCACTTTGCCCGGCTGCTCTGAAACGGTGTGGGGTGGGGGCGCTAGAACCACGCGTGATATCATTAGGTTGTACCATGCAATAAGTACAACACATTTGGATGATAATTTACGTTAACCTGATTTTACTTGAAAAAGTTTTTAAATTTGAACTTAACCATTTTTTTTTTTTTTTTCATTAAAGGGGTGTTGACCCCTACAGGACTCGCGCGCTAGGCGCACAGTGGACTTGCTCGACTTAGATGAAAGGAACTTCCACTTTGACTAATGACTAAACTTTTCGCGGACGCTAATGAATGGCACCGTGGGCCGCCAATTAGACAGCCCTCTTCTACACTGTTTAATAGTATAGTAACCAAATTTTGGGGTAGCTTCGTCCATCTATCTCGTAATTTCGGAGTCTTGTCGATTCGTTACGATAAGGTATAAAACCCAAAGATCCAAAAGAAGTCTTGGAACTCCGTCGAATATCGTACATATAAATTATAGAAATTCATCTTTGACCTGAAAAGACTTGGATCTGTAAAAATTCTAGCACCAACTGAAGCGAAACAAATGTCATTTAAAGGAAAAACAATAATTTGTTTTTCGAACTCGTCTAAACATTTAATTTGCTAATTTATTTCAGTGAAATTTATTTTGAAATATGAGAGTTAAATATACACTTCTTTATTAAGTTCGATTATGTTTTCTTTGATATTCGTGCTTTTCGACTACCCGCCTGCAAGCTGTGGGGTTGCAGCAGGTTGCAGACACTTAAAATGATAAATGAAACTGCTGTAGAAGTCAACTGTTATTATCCACGCACGTTTTCTTGAGCCCTTGCTAGTTGCGAGAGGAGAGGGGTTTTTGGTTATTTTGACAAAAGGATTTTTATATCAAATTTGTAGTTCATTTTTCGATGAAAAATAGTTTCTATTATACAACGGTCGTTACTATCATCTATTCTTAATGTAACTAATGTTGGCAAATGGTAGGCTCGGAACTACGCCATCAATCTGTTGAATTTCCAACTCTTACTGTTAATAGCTCCTTTGCATATTTGCTCTTCTGTCTTCATTTACTTAATAACGATGCACTCAAATTATAGGTGTTTCATTTAAATGTGGGTAATGTATATTCGTAGTATGGATCGGCAGTTGTTTTTCACGGATGTAAACAAACAAGTGAAGATGCGATGCCTAACGAAAATCATGACAGTGATTGCTTAATAATGAAAAATATATTTTGAAATCTAATGTGCATAAGATATTTTCATTTTGTGTTCATCTTACGCCTTTCGAATAGTGGCCACTGTAGACGGTAAAATAGTGCACATTAACTTGTACGACTGATCACATTTCGTGTATTTGTACACATCTTTTATCTTCCTGGTGTCATTTTGTGCCAAAGCAGTAATCTTTGAAATCTACTGTATTGGAAAACATAACATTTTTCAAAATGTCTGACGAAGAAGTCGAAAAGTTTGAAATAAGTGATTATGACCTCGATAACGAGTTCAACATCAACAGACCTCGCCGTCGCTTGACAAAACACCAACAAATATATGGTAATATTTTTTAAGTATGATTGATTGTTCGTGTTCCTTATTTCATTCATGTTCCAAATTCATTATTTGTGTTCATTATTGTATTCCTTGTGTCATTTTCTTTTTTCTACTTCAGTAATACTGATGTCTTTTCTGACCCCAAGTTTTACTGGCAGCTGGAAGTGGTAAACATGAATGTAAACAGATATATACAGAGTGATTTTATGTAATGATGCCTTTTAAAATTAATTTTTAGTAACAAAATAAATATATTTTTTGTAAATATGAAATATGTTATGTAAAATAAATAACCACAATACATAACCTCAATTTTGAAGGTTTGTTTCAGAGATATTTATGAGAATTACGAAAGTTATTTCGAGAGGAAGAATCAAATATCTCTTCTGACAGTATCAGAGACACTCATTAGAGTTCATGACAAGATTTTTAAAATGAGAATGGGAAAATAACAAACTATACCTTGGGTCATCATCATAGATATGTCAGAGGATTTAGCAGTTTAGTGTAGCAGAAATGGTTTAGCTGTTTAGTGATTGATCCCATACATCAGTGTGTATTCCTGTATGATGAGAAATATTTATTCTTTGATATATTTTTCATTTGTAAATGTGATTGTAGGTATTTGGGCGCATGACAGTGGTGATGAAGGAAACGGAAGTAAAAGCCACCAACGTGCTTCTCATCGCAAAAATTATTCAGCTCCGGTTAGTTTTGTTTCTGGTGGTGTTCAGCAAGCTGGCAAAAAAGATGAAGCAAAAGGTAAAACTGGGTCTGATGATGAAGATGATGACGACGACGATGACGATGATGATGATGAATCGGCACCTGGTACATCTAGATCAAGGAGGATTGCTGCAACTTCAAGGTAAATGTACTGTCTTATTTGCAAAGCTTTTTTGCAATAATAATAGTCATGAGTCTTAACAAATATTTATTTTCTCTAAATTTATGCTTTTTGCAAGTCCCACACATTCAAGGTCCTCTAGGTAAGGAAATGCTTTTGGATATTGATGGCTGTTAAGAAAGTTATAAATTATGTTTGCACATAAATTAATTTCTTTTTTCTCACAGTGAGGAGTCTGAAGATGATGCCAAATATAGTAAACAAAAACTAACCAAACAAGACTTGAATTATGAAGGAGAAATGGCAGGTTTTCGGAAGAAGCGTTTTATGAATCCTGGTTTAATAGAAAAGGGTGTGGGAGATTGGGAAAAACACACGAAGGGAATTGGTGCAAAATTGTTGCTTCAGGTATAATTTATATTGTAATCGGTAACGTTAATTACAATGTCATTGTTATTTTGAAATGGTTTGATTGCTTTTAACATTAATCAAGTTCATGCAACATTCATGTTAACGGTTTGTAGATGGGCTTTCAACCAGGTAAGGGACTTGGAAAAGATCTTCAAGGTATATCTGCTCCTGTTGAAGCATATCAACGCAAAGGAAGGGGGTCAATAGGTAAGAATATTATTGTTAATACCAAATAAGGTTATATCAAGCTTATTCAGAGCTTTCTTACTGTCTGTTTTTTTTTTTAGTACTGTGTTTTGTAATGTAAATAAAATTTTGAAGATTATGTGAAATGTGTCTTCGGTTTCAATGCTGTTAAATTCTGTTGACTTTCAGGTGCATATGGACCTGAAAAGGGCACAGCAAAAAAACCAGATACCGATGAAGAAGCTGACAAAGAGTTTGTTGAAAAATTGTCTCTGTGGAGGCGTGATGATAGTGATAAAAAGAAGAAAACAAGATATGTCTACAAAAGTGTTGATGAAGTTATAGAGCAAGGAAAATTAAAACCAGGGAAGAAAGACTACAGGTTTGTTGATATTTCAAAGTAAGTGTTTTCAAAGTGGGTCTTAGTAATGTAGGTTGTTTCCGGGTATATGTAGCATTGTAGTACAAGAGAGATCCTTTAGAGCATTCTCATATTTTGAAATCTTGCTATATCACGCTTATTAATTTTTGTGCTGTAGCGTATTGGTAAGTCACACATGAAAATTATCATTTTCAATGCATTTTATAACCTTTATTCTATTACCTTATATTATTCTCCAATATTTTGCAGCTTTTAATTCATCTTTGTTACATTTATCTATCCCATTTTACCATTAATCATAATAAGTTAACCAGAACATCTGTATTATCTACTGAGCCAAAGTAGAGCCAAGTATTGTAGCTATATGAGCCTTTCATGTTATTTGCGTTTATAGATTATTAGGTTTTACTATATGATTACATGTCCTGCAGTCAGTTTTATTAGCCTTTTGTCTCTTGTAATTCACCGTTCTACATTACAACCATAATTCCAGTCCGGAAGCTGTTCCATCTCAAACATTACAGGAAGCCCCCATGTTTCTTTGTGACAAATATGTCTGGGCTTCAAAGCCTTGAGAATCATCTTACCTCTTAGTCCGAAGTTATCTGAAATGAAACAAAAAATAAAGTGACATCATCATTCATTATTCTTCTGTCCACAGTATGGTATTGGACATAAAGGGTATAAGACCTCAGAATTTTACGCTCTCAAATATATAATTTTAGGTGTAATGAACACAGAGAAATTGCTAATTAGGGAATAGAGCTTTATTTTAAATATGTTTTTATTAGACTCCAATCTCATTCAAGATCAAGAATATACAACTTTTAATGAAAGTTAAATAGTAAATAGAAAAATTTTAATATTAATTTTTTTAATGATTTTATTTAATAACAATGTTTAAAAATCTTAAAGACTTTCTTCCTAAGTTTTCTTGTCCTGCTCCCCTTCTTTGCAAACAAAGCTATAACCCTTCAAAGAAAAGGAGTGACATTCTTTGCAGTTCATGTGGCAACTTGCCCCCACACATAACCAAATAAATATTTTCTCAAATTTTTCCATCTATAGAACAAGTAATGCTTAAAAGATAGTCGCAGGTCTTATTTTCGTTGAACTCTGTATTTTCAAAAATTGCAAAAGTTAGAAATAACGAGAGAAACTATGTGCTGTTGTAGCACCACTAGTATGGTTTTAAATTAACACAGACGCCAATGATCATGGCTGTTTATGCGCCCTTTATACCTCCATCAAGGATCCACAAAATGTGAATTCTGACTGCACAATGAGTTACTGTGTATGAGGTAGTTATTTACTCGATAAAGGAACAAGATTGTTCTACTTTTCTGTTACTAAGGCCCAACAATAAGCATTTTTCTGAAGAACACTCCCCCAGCATTACAATTCTGTCTTTATACTGCACAAGCAGGATGTGAAAAAGTAAATTTTTTTGGCATAAAATGTGTTGGGCATCGTTGAGACTGTATTATGTTAAAAGCGTATGTTTCAGTCTATGTTAATAAACATCTGAAGTCTCCTTATGAACTGCAAAATGCTTAGTAAAGCGAAAACAGTGTTTGGCAAAAAGATATTTTGGAATAAAATGCCTTCTACAGACTCAATTGCAAAGGCCAGAGCCTTGTAATAAAATTGGAAACTATTAGCAAAGTGTCAACTCATCTTAAAAAGTTCAATATTAAATGAAGTTAGATTTTATGACAATGAATCGTGAACCGATTCCTTTATATAAGTTATGGTAACTTTAAAATTCCTTTTTTTAATTTGTCTTGTGAAGTGCAACCTCCTGTTGGTACTAGTTTAAAGAAGGTACTTTTCAGTTGTGGGCTTAGTCAAGGATACTCATTTTTTCACTGAACATTGTTTCTCATCACCAAAACAGCAAACTTTGTTATTCTAGATGCTCTGTCTATTCTTAAAGTGGTCTTTTCATTTCTTCTGTTCTCTCTTGCTTGTATCTCTGTCTTGGTAACTTCTGATGAATTAAAAAATGTGATTTGTATTTAAGGATTAAGAAAAGTTATGTGTATTTTTTTAAAATTATTGCTATGGTATTTCATCTAATGTGATTTTTATCATTGTTACATCAAGTCAGCTGAGCAAAGTGAAAGTTATCGATATGACCGGGCCCCAGCAAAGAGTCCTAAGTGGATATCATGCAATTGCTGGGCAGCAGAGACCATCCGAGGAATGGGAAGTTCGTAAGGACAAGAAGTTCTCCAATTTTGCATTACCAGAACTTCAACATAATCTAAACATTTTAATGGATATGTGTGAACAGGTACTGTTAGTGTATTGGATTTCTTTGAATAGTGTTACTTTTAACATTATCTAAACCCGGGGTGTCAAGCGAAAACAAGAGACCTGGAGTAGTATATCCTTAGGATCACTTATTTCAAACAAAACCTCTTGTGTCTTTGCCCCTAAACAAAATTAATTTCTCCATGCATCAGAAATAAGTTGGAGTAGTTAATTTGGTTTAGAAGTAAATACATTTTTTATTTGTTTTGAATGGGCGAAGAGTTCGGGGACCCCAAAATAATTTGGGGTAAGTTACCCCAGCTGTCGCCCTGCCCTTTCTGGGCAACCCTGCTTGTGCTACCGTGCAGGGCAAACCAATTTGTACTGGTTTGCGTGAAAGCTACTAAATTTCCACTTCAGAAGTGAAGTTACAGGAAATACTATGTAGAGAGTGTGAAAAAATGTTTATTTATTGTGTTGCTGAAATTGTTCAGGTTTTTTATTTTATGCTTAGGAAATCATTGAAAATGATCGACGGTTAAGATACATTAATGATAGAAAGATTACATTGGAGCAAGAGGCATCAACATTAAAAACAGGTGTCGATCAAGAAGGCAAGCAGATTAAATCATTAGAAAACGTATTGGCTATTATTGAGAATATGGTTGAAAGGAGTAATGATCGATTGGACCCTTTAACTCTTGATAGAGCAGCAGAATTTTTTAAAGAAATTCAGGTAAGAATGAGCATATGCTGTGAAGCTATTCTGTAGCAACTGCTGTAACATAATTGGTTTATGTAGCTGATTTTCAATGTGCTTCAAGAATTCTTGTATTCGTGTGTAAGACTTTTGTTATCTGAACTTTACTTTATAATACATTGTAACATAGACTGAAGTTTATAATAGTTGATTTCTAAATCAGGAGAATTAAATTAAAGGGTTCATGAATGGTACATCATATTTTAACTTGAAACTGGGGGGTCTCGTTAGCACATATTTCAATGAACCAACATTTTTTAACATCACACGCGTTATCAAAAAACACTCAATTTTTACTAAAACACTAATTTAGTGTAAATAACACAAGAACAAATGACACAAGCAAACTTAATTGCAAAAAATTACCAAATGAGAACAAAATTACATTCAAATCATACACAGACAAAAATGCAAATGAACCGAAAAAAAATAGCATCCTTACTTTATCAAATTCAAGGAAATGTATGGTAGGTAAAATAGCACAACACAGTGAACGAATATGATGGAGGCACTTTATAATATATTTTTCTGCTTGGGCTCATTCTAGTACTCTTCAAGAACCCCAAAGTATCCTGGAAAGAATATGTGAATCCATTCACACTAAACATGAGAATCTGCAGAATGTGTTCCCAACTAATATTAGACATGCTAAGTGGGATTGGTAAAACATATTATTGTGTGATTATTATAATGTGATTATTTTTTTAGTGATTGATTTCTGAATTGTATCGGCAACACTCTGTTGTGCACACATCTTACCACAGTGTAACAAGTTACACCAGTTAATTCAGTTTGGTTGAATAACAATTTTTTAATTTGAATCACAGTCATAAATCATAGATTGTGCAAGTACATACATATGCATGCACATACATGGGTGTGTGCACGCACACACATACACACACAAAGACACTCTTGTGCATATATGTATATTAATATCATTTAGTTAATCACAAAATTATGGCTATCTTGAAGGGTTCAGAGTTTTCTTAGAAATGCAGTCGGCTGGAAGTGCATTTCAAGCATTTATAACATTAATTTACAGTAAAGTGAGAATGTAGTCTTATCCTTGTCCTTTCTTTCCTCAACTTCATTGAATGTCCTCTAAGCTTAAGTGCTGTGACTCTTGTAAACAAATGAATGAATACAATGTTTATTTCAGTTTTGTTACAAAAACATATTAACACAAAAGAACACAGGAAGAAAACTATCTTCATCAACTGTTAATTGTTTTACAGTGCTTCTCTTGGTTTCTTTATGCGCGCACAGCACACATTCTGTTTCGCAACTGTCCTAGACTGTCCGCTCTTGCTCAAAAGTTCTCCTCTGCTAGGTAGGTGCCTTGCTCGCCATCTATCTCCTCTGCAATAAACTCTTGAAATCTGTGTTAATCTTCCCCCAAATCCATTCAAAGTTTCCATGTTTCTTCTTTGTTCTAATGTCAAAAGTGACATTTCTTCGCATCTTCCTTCGTTGACGTAGTTCGCTCTGGATCTTGGTTAATTGACTTCAGGTTTTTTCTTTGTTTTTTTTCTTTGTGGTAGGAAGGAGACCAAACCAATTTTCATACTCAAATATGGGCCTTATGTATGTTGTAGAGATCAGTTTTACCATATAGGGGCGCAACGTGGTTCATGCCTTTTTTATCAGATATAGTAGTTTATTGGCTCTTTTGGAAACAGCTGTAACTTGGTTATCCCATGTCAGATTTCGAATGATAAGAATTCTTAAGATAATTTTGTTCTATCATAGAATTGAGGATGTAATTTCCAACAATGTAAGTGGGATGTAGGTTAGTCTTTCCAAGGTGGAGGACGTTATTTACTCTTTCAGCAATATTTTTTTCAAAAAGTTTTGCAAAGCAGGATGTATAATAGGTCTATAGTTTTGGATTTCAGGTATATTACTCTTTTTTGTAAATGGGTCTCGCAATACTAATTTTTAGGACATTTGGAATTATACATTCATTGAGTGATCTATTTATTAAGTGCTCTGAAACATCAGTTAATGAGATTTTACATATTTTCAGTATAATTGCTGGTATCTCATACCGGCCTGCCGATCTAGCTGTTGCTTATGTGTTGATGTGTTTCTATCTCTCTTACGTTTGTATTATTTTGATATATTGTTTCGTTTGTACAGTAATTTATGTATTCTCTGGAGAAATTGTCCTACACATCCGATGTTTAAGAAGTACTAATTGAAAGCTTCACAGATGTTCAGGGGATTATTTATCAGTTTGTCATAATGTTGCAATTGCAATTCCACATATCTTCAATTTTATTTGGTGAATTGTTTATTTTTCCATTTAGCCTGCTTGCCTTAAGTTTCTTAGTTCTTTTCTAAATTCCTTCTTGTATTTTTTTTATATGATTCTCTATGTGACTCGAGATTGGTGTTTTTAAATAGTAAATGCATTTCTTTCATTTTTTCTCTTAGTTGAGCAATTGTATGCAGTAGTTTAATTTTTAAACGTGTTTGCATGTTTGTTGATCTTTTCTTAATAGGACACTTAGAAATGAAATGTTAATTTAATTTGTTTATAAATTAATTCCGTTTGTTGGATGATTCTTGTTCTGCATAGACTTCTGTCCACTTTTCACTTTTTAAATCTTCATTGGGGTGCAATTTGTTTCTATTTCCTGTATCTGTTATATATGTATATTTTACTTTTTCTGAGTAATATGTACAGTTTTTTAATGTCTAAAATTTATTCATTATGATCTGAGGCATTAAAATCTACATTCTTACTGAATAGTGATTTTCATGGGAATTGGTTATAATGTGGTAAATGACAATGTTGGAGTATTCCATAATTCTTCTCGGTCCTACATTTATATCTTGAATATTAAATTCGTTACGCAAATCTTTTAGTTCATTATTTATTATATCGATATTTAGGTTACGATTCTACTATTTTTTGGCTCAATCTTATTAAAATCTCTTCTAATTTTATTATAAATTAATTAGATTTTGCGTTAGGTGATGCATATATGGCAAAGATTTTGAGAGCTTGTTTCTCTGAGTATATGTTTATTCCAACTACTTCACATATCATTTCCTCATTATAGTTTTTTAACCATTTAATTTCTTCACATACTAAGTTCTTTTGAGTTTACAGTGAAATTATTTGGTCGCTGAAGGTCGAAGGCTCAGAGCTGCCGGAAGAGTCCATTCCTCAAGCTTATCAGTTCAGGTGGAGCACGTTCCTTCCCAGGACGTATTGACAGCCTTACTGCAGTTGTGAAAACATTGACCCTGACTATTCGTCTCCGCGAGATGCAAATTTTCAGTTGTGTTTCCCTCCTTACCTGAGTGAAGCGATTTGTGTGAAGTTCTGTTGTGATCGTTTAAATGCATCTGGTTCAGTGCAAGTTGCATAAGAACGTCCTTCACAGACGCAAGACGTAGTTGCAAAAATATATCAATTAATGAAGAGAGAAGCAAAATAAGGTATTATAAATATCCAAGCAGTTCTTAAGGGAGTAGTTGCTGCTTCACTTGTTTCAAAAAGATATATTTGCAGAATTAATAAGGAAATTCATTTTATTTAATCTGGAGAAAGGTGTTCATTTTCAGCTCCTAATAAAGAGAGGAAGAGAAAGGATGTGGAATCTGCTCTCAACGGTTTCAATAAAAGTATGATTCATTGCACAGTGATTTAATGTACCATATCAAGAAAACCTTATTTTTACTGGAAACAACATAAACAATAGAAGGACAGTGATAGTGATACTAGCTATGATAATGAGAAAACAGGAAAACATTTCAGTGACAGTGGAAAAGATATGAATGATGAGAAAGCAGAAGCTTGAATTTGGTGTTTCTCCACTACCGAACAAAGACACTACAGCAAATTAATTTCCAAGGAATTTTGCTAGCACGTGCGGTATGGTAGGCTAATGTTTTTGGTATGGGCAGACGCAAGCTAGTGCCGCCTTCTAGCTGTCTCCCCACCACTTTGAGCTACCTCCTCTACTCTTGAAACCCAGCAGCCACCCTAAAAAAATTTAGCTGTACATTGCCACTCTTCCATCTTTATATGCTTCTCTGCAGTAGTATGTTACTAAATATTAGTCTTCCGCGTTCAGTAACATGCAGACTTGTGGGTCATATCATCCAAAATTGTTTCTAGTTGTTCATTTTTGTTTGTAAAATATTATACATTTTCATGAAGTATTCTAAGTGTTCCTTTTCCTCTTCTCTTAATTCTATCACAGAATGTGTAGTTTTCAGTCTACTGCTTCAAAATTATGACATTTGCCTATATTATCAAAATATATTGCAAGATTTTGGTGCATCCCTCTTCAATTTTTGGGAACAAGTCCATGTATTTAATAAATTCTCTTTCGATTTCAGTGTGTGGAATAGCTCCATGTTTAGTCAAAGTGATTCTTGGAAAACTGAAATTTCCAAAAATAATAACTTGTATCTCCAGATTGCATACCAGATTCTGTGTGGATGGGCTTTTTTTTTATATTAACTTTCTTACAGAAACAATGCGGAGACAGATTTTCTTGAATATGAAAATATTGATTCATTGTTTTATATATTTATAGTTTTATTGATTCTCTGTTTATCTTTCTTAAAGATTTTCTTTTCTTAAAATCGTGATCTAATAAATTAAATGGATTGAAACTTCTGTCGCATCTCACTTTGTGGTCACCACTCATGTTGCACAGTGTTCACACACGATTCGTAGTACAAATACTAGCACTCTTCACTTCACAAAATATGTAGATGACTAATGTTTAGAAAATTTTACTAATGTCCATTGACAAGGGTCTCTTGTATTTTACGAGCAAGGTCAGGAGGGGTGCCTAGGAATGCTTAGTTGATTTCTTCTAATTTTATAGTTATTTTACTGGAAACCCCATCCCTAGGACACAAAGTGACCCAGTTGTATAATTTGTTTCACTGACACAAGGAAAAGCAGATTCGTGTCACCCATCCCTTCTTGGGGGCAGAGTGAACATGTGAGATACTACTGTTTATTGTAACCCTAATTAGTTTGGTGGTAATTTTTTTTATAGTTCTTCAGCACTTGGATCAATGACTGGCCGAACACATTTCAATAGTGCAAGCAGGGAGAGTGCACCCTCATACTTTTACAATAGATTTTTTTTGGAATTGTACATGTGCAATGTCCAAGTTTTTCTTCTATTTTATAGAAAATTGAACAAGAAATAAACTTGTATTTATTTTTTTTTATTGTTTTATAAAGTACATATAGAACTTGTCATTTTATAAAATTACAATTTTTTAAATGAAATATTTGTTTTTTGAAAAATTTATTTACAGAGCAATAAAGTTCATGTTTCAAAGTATTAGATGTAACAAACCAGGAATTTTTGTATTAGGTCTGTTCAGAGCAACAATTATATTTTCCGAAGTACGCATAAATTTCAAAATTAATATAGTCATAACTACGCGTATAATCGCTTTTCATGCAAATAAATATGCGTCTTTTTTTTATGTCCAGATTTTAGAAAGAAAAATTTTGTATGTTATAGAAAAGTTATGTCAGTTCTTGTGTGATTTGATTTAAAATGTCTAATATAGCGAAAATTTTGTAATGCTACACTGAAAACTTCTCTCTTTTCAAGGAGGAAAATTCATTTTGTACCAAAAATGTGGACAATTCATGCTCTTGTATAGTTATTTACTTCCTCTAATACCTGTGTAGTTGTGTAGTTAGAATCAATATTTTGTGGGCCTTTGTTGCTGAAATATGTTTACGATAAAATATCCTGTGTCTGTCAATACAGGAAACTCCAATGACATTTTTGGATTTGCATGAAATTTTGACAGTGGTACTTTTGCATGAAATGTTGGCAATTTTTAAACAGTTATTTTCTCTAAAACAGCTTCAATGATTTTCTTCAGCCTTGTTTCTCCGATAGAGCACTAGACGTTCCAGAAAAATTATGCAAGTTCTATTCTCAGCAAATGTTCTAAATTTTCAACCTTACAAAATTAATATTGCAACATTACAATATTGATAGATTTTTTTTATTAATTAAAGCTGTTCAAAACTAATGATGCTATAACTTCATGTAATTTTTCACACTTATTAACAGTTACTCAATATTTATTATAATATTGTAAAATCAGGCCACAATAGCATGTCTCAGTCTTCACTTGTTAATCACAAATCGCAGAATTTAGATGTGAATTCTAAATTCTCTGGACATCCAAATGTTCAACTTTCTTCATAAAGTGTCAGAAAAGGTGTTAAGACAACTTAAGCAGTTGGTGGATACGTGAATTAATTGCTAAACCTAAGTCTGAGTTTAAATCCCAGCATGGGCAAACATGTTGGCTTATTGGAAACACTTTTAAGGGTTAATGTAGTATTATAATATTGTATATATGTGTATGTCAAATAATACAAGAAAGAATGTGCTTTTATAGCTCCTCTAGTTTAATTTTCTTTATTTAATGATTATGTATTATGATAGTAAAATTTTGGTCTTCATTTACTAATGTCCTTTGTACTTATTTTTACCATGATTTATTTATGATTAACTGCTTTTTGCAGGAAGACTACTATGAAGAATATATGTTATATGACATTGGCAGTTTGGCCATTCAGATTGTTGCTCCTTTGTTGAAAGAAAAACTTGTATCGTGGAATCCTTTGGAAAATGCCAGCGGTCCACTGGGCCTCTTCAAACAATGGAAAGACATTTTAGAGGTAGATTCCAATTCTTCTCTGACAGGTGGTAGCTCACAAGATCCATATCATAAATTATTATGGGAAACATGGATGCCAAATGTAAGAATTGCTATCAAGTAAGTAAAATTATGGACCATTTCCTAAATATAATAAGGAAATCAATTCTTATGAGTTTTGTGTTAAAAGTGCACTTCTCTGCAATGGAGGCATTAATGTAAGGGGCATGTTTCTGAATTGGAAAGTTTGAATGATTCACAATAAAAAGTGGTGTGTATCAATCTGATACCTATGCAACTGAATATGGGATAAAGAACTTCGATGGCCAAATATTTTTGTATATAAAGAATTATACCAGAGAATAGTCAAGGCATAGGGTACCATGAACTTTCCAAGAACAAATATAGGGTATTTAGTGCTTCAAACTATTAAGAAATTATCTTATTGTAATGCAATTCAACTCGAGTGCTGTGATGGGAAAAGCCAAAATGTAAAGCAATACAAGTCCACAAGTCTGGATTTGGTCACATACATAGGCATCCCTGATGCTTCCACAAAGGTGTGCCAGGTTTACATGCCAGGTCACCCTCCAAATGCTGAAAAGCGAGGAATGATGACTATCCTGCTGATCCGACAGTGGCCATGTGCAGGCTTGCCATCGCCATTCCAGCATCCATTGGGGCAACCTTTGTTTTCATAAAAAACTAGCAATAATAGTTGCTTAGATTTTCTGAGCTTTTTATTTATCTACAGGGTATGGGGGCTTTCAGCTGAAGGAGGTTGGAAGCATTCTTTAAGGGTAATTTTAAAGACGTGCAGCACGTACATTAATTCTTGTTGACAATGTATTGCCAAAGTAACAGGTATGATTTATTTCACATTAAATAATGGAATGAAACAACACAACTCCATCCCTGCGCATGAACAGTCTACAGTAAGTTTGTAATTTACTACGCTACAATGTACCAAGTCTTCATCAAAGACATGTCTGCAGGCATTAGGACACGGACATTAGCCGCCACGGGACTTGTGGAAAAAGGAAAGAATGGATTTTATTCTTCAGCTGCTGCAGGATTGCATGCGCCTGCCCCTCACTGGAAAAGGTAACAATCTCACCTTTTCCAGGTCATAAAAGCCTCCGATGTTATTGAAGTCGCCTGTCGAGGTGGGTCAGTCCACCTCCTGAAAGAGGGGGGTGCAGGAAGGCTCTCAAGTATTCCTTCGTTCACCAGACATCTTCATCTTTCCCTTCGTTCATTCTCGTTCCTTTATAACATCCTGTCTCTTTTCTTCTACCCCTTCTATTTCACTGCCCCCTGTATACAGAACGCCCACCCATGCGTTTGCCGTGCATGGCGACGCGTGTCGGAAGGAATGGGTGTCCTGGCAGTTGCGGGACCTGTTTGTTTCCCAACTACCCCTTGTGCTACTTTCTGCCTTGCACCTAGGCATACGTTGTTTACTTATTTTGGGGAACATTCCTTGTAGGTTTACAACACACTTGCTTTGGCCTCGGACTCTAGACGTGATGTCGGGAGCTAACCCCCTCCCGATCAATCGCCTCGGACTAGGTCTTGTACTGAACTCCAGGGTGAGCGGGGGAATCCATTGCGGGGTAGCGCTGCGACATCTTCCCACTATATCTTCCGTGACCAGCCTGGCACCACAGTGGGGTGTTCCCTTGTTGGACTCTGTGGCGGGTGGGGAGCACGGAGACGAATCCGCTTCAATTCTATGGAGAATAAAACAAAACCCCTTGCCCTCTTCCGGAAGGAAGAGGCGATGTTGTGAGAAAACGGTGGATTTCAGTAGTTTCTTCTTTAGGAAGAAAATAAACCAAAGAAGCCACCTTTCCTTTTTATGGCGTGCACGGAAGAACATGTAAAAGTACTAGTGCGGTTCATCTCGCGCGAGCCATTGAGGACAGTTTCGCCAAACTCCAAGCGGTTGTGCGTCAGAGGAATGGTACCATTCTCTTCGAAGCCCACACTGATGAGAAAATCGAAAAAAATCGTAAACAAAGCAGATTGCCAGCCTCCAGGTGGACGTGACCACTCACGCTACCCTTAACCTAACGCCACCCTAACCAGGGAGTGGTCAATCACGATGACTTTGCGTCAGAAAGTTAGGAGGGTCTTCTTTCTTCACGAGTCAGGGCGTAACGAAAGTGTTGAGGATCAAGAGGTAGGAGAATGGGAGAGATCCCTACTCCCACTCTGATCCTGACGTTTAATCTCCCCTCTTTTCCAGAGAGGATTAGTTGTGGTTTTTAAAATCTGTACGTGCGGTAGTATATACCGAACCCCCTGCGTTGCTCCAAGTGTCAGAGGTTCGACCATACCCAACAGCAGGACATAGCTGTAAGCCCAGTTTGCGCAAATCCACGCACGGATCCCTGTGCTTCCCCGCTTCGCTGTGTTAACTGCGAAGGAGACCATGCGGTCAACTCGAACAGGTGCCCTACATATATGAGGGGGAGAGAGATCCAAAAGATCAGAGTGACGAAGAAAGTGTCTTTTCCTGAGGCGAAACGTTAATGCTTAGTAAAGATCTCAGGCGTTTTTTCCCCCTAGTACTCTGGCCAAAACGGCAAAATCGAGTTGAGGATTCACCTCTGCTACTCCCCCAGTTGCCCATTTCTGTTGCCAGATGTCTCCAGTGGACTTCCCTGAACAGACATCGCCATTTGTATTTCCTCCTAATACAAATTGTCCAAGAAATCCACACAGGCGAAGTCGGACCTAGAATCCAAAAGATCGTTCTTTTAAACTCCGGCCACCTACACCGACTCCTGGACTCGAGGAATCTGTCCCTCGAGGACAGTCACCCCATCTATCAATAGAGGCATAAACGCGAAAAGGGGAAGAAAAAATCCTCCTAGAAGCAGAGAAACTTAACATCTAAAAGTTATGGCTCTACTCTCGTGTAACCTAAATGGCTTTCGCACCCGTTTAGACGAATTAAAGATGATACTGTCTCTATAGACCCGTTGTCATCTGCCTGCAGGAAACACATCTTCCTGAGCGTTCCCTCTCTGTTCGTGAGCTTTTGCTGCTACAGGCAAGACATTGATGAAGGCCTCAGAGCACATGGCGGTATCGTTACATTAGTCACTGACTCCCTGGTGTGCAAGAACGAACTAACCACAATCCGTTCACAATGCGTTCGTGTGATATTCGCGCTATAACAATTACTATTTCGACGTCTATATCCCGCCTGGCCAAGTCGTGTCGCAAGAGGAACTTGAAGATGCTATCTCAGTTACCCGCCCCTTTTCGTATTATGGGAGACTTCAATGCCCACAATCCCGCCTGGGGTGGCCCTAGAAACTGCTCCATAAGCAATGTACTTGAAAATATTATTGACAACCATAACTTAATTCTTCTGAATACTGGTGAAAGAATGCATTATTCCGTGGCTTCAAACACTTTCTCGTGCGTCGATCTGGCTCTCGGTAGTCCCACTCTCTACCGTCTTGGAGTGGACTGTCCTTGGCGACCTGCATGGCAATGACCACTTCTCCATTCTGGTCAATTTCGATATTCCCTACCCAAACGTTGCTCGCTCTCCCCGCTGGCTAATCCACCCTAGCTGAGTGGGAAATATTCGCGGAAGAAATAGGGATATCGGGAAATATGCTCAAGGATATATGCTCAGGGATGCGGAAGATATGCTCAAACGATACCGATGCTATAGTTGCCCATTTTACTGGTGTTCTTCATGCGGCCTCAATTGTCATCCCGAAGTTGTCAGGTCACGTCCCGCGCCACGGCGGTGAGTGTTCGGACACGGACATGGACAAAGTTTAGTAGGTTCCCAACCATGGATAACCTGATCAATTCTAAAAGATCACTAGCCAGAGGTAGACCATACGGGAAAGTAAGGCCGCGTCCTGGAGAGCTTATATTTCGTCACTTGCCGTACGCCCCTCCCCCCTAAAGTAGTGTGGTGAAAGGTTCGCCAGATCGGTGGAAGTCTTCCTTCGACGTCTAGGGGCTTCTGGTAAACGAAAATCTTATCACCTCACCAGAAAATATAGTTGAAGAATTGGCCTCTTACTGCGAATATATCTCCAGCTCTGCACACTACTCCCCTAGCTTTCTGAAGACCACTAGAATGGAGAACTGCAGACTAGATTTATCGAGTCGCGTGGAGGAAGAAAGCTCCTTTCTCCATGGATGAATTTCCCTGTGTCCTAGCGTGTGCAAAAGATTCTGCTGCAGGACCAGTCCAGATACATAACAAATACTTACACCTACTTGAAAAATGCTTGCTCTTTTGTCCTCCGCATTTTCAACTTCATTTGGGATAAACAATCCTTACCAAGGATTTGGCGTGAAGCCTTTTGTTATTCCAATTCCTAAAGAAGGAAAGGGCAGAACAATCCCTTCAAGTTACAGCCCGATTTCGGTCACAAGCTGTGTGTGCAAGCTTTTTGAACGAATAGTAAACAAACGTCTGGTCTGGCTCCTTGACCAAAGGAATCTATTTACACCTTTTCAGTGTGGTTTCAGAAAGCACATGGATTTCAGAAAGCACACTCAGATTTCTACTTCTTTCGTGGTACACCACCACCTTATAGCAGTTTTTTTCGACCTAGAGAAAGCGGATTCTTAAGGCCTTAGGGGACGGCTCCCTTCGTTTCTAATAGATTTTCTTTCGTCAAGATCTTTCCGCGTCCGCCTTGGTGACACGTTATTCTCAAGTCACCAGTGAGAAAACGATGTTCCCCAGCGATCAATTCTGAGTCACTGTTTGCCGTCGCTATCAATAGTATCGCATCAGTAATTCGAAAGCCTATGAAAGCATCGCTCTTCGTTGATAACTTCGGCATATTCTGCTCCTCGGAGAGCATGCACGTTGAGAGGTAGCTACGGCTTGTCCTCAACAATTTGCAAGAATGGAGCGATAAAACTGGATTCAAGTTATCCACCTCAAAATCCAGTTGCATGCACTTCTGTGGAATATATCACCTCCATAATCATCCTGATCTTTTTTTTGGGGGGGGGGTGTCATCAACTTCCCTTCGTCGAATCTGCCACTTTCCTTCGCCTCACATTCGACAAGAGTTTAACACGGCGAAAGTACATTCAAAACTTGAAGAGGTATCTCCATTGAA